AATTATAATAATTATTAAAATATTAAATATATGTATCAAATGACTCATGACTACATAAAAGAAAGTTTAACTGTGTGAGCACTATTTTTCTTATAAAAAGATGTAGAAAAAATTTGATCTCCTAAAGAAATTTGGGTTAAAGCCAACTATAGTCCTCGTGCTTTTTAAAAATGTTCATTATCGTCCCTCTACTAAGGAAATATTGAATGTCATCCCTCTACTTGGCATGCAGTATAAAAGTCGTCTCTCAACTATGCTTTTTGGGTTCAATGTCATCCTCAATTGGATGTCTCCATATTACACGTTTACGTTATCCGTTAATTACTTAACAGTCAAACATTCAAATTATTGTCTACTTTTTTTTTTTGTACACTTGTACTCACTAATGGGATCGTGGGATCCATTTCATGGATTTTTGCTTTATTTTCTGTGTTCTTTTTTTTTTTTTTTTAAGTTACAGAGGAAATGGCGCAGAAAAAAAAAATGATAACAGAGCTGGTGGTCTAATTAGAGGTCGGTTTTTCGAGCCTCGTTGAGATACGCCAACATGGGGCTAGCGTTGGTCTGTGGGGAGCGGGCTGGGATCTCGTCGAGTCACCTGCCGATGTAATATATCACCTTGGAGAAATCCAACGACTGACATTTGTCCCCCATCATGATCTCCCTCTTCCAAAGGCCCATACCCCACTGTCCCCGAACTCCTCCTCTTCGTCGCTCTCGCCCTTCTTCTTCCTGTGCGTAAACATGATCACCTTGTTGCTGATGGTTTTCAGCAGCTTCTTCGGCTTCATCGTCCTGAGCGTCGACTTGGTCGGTAAATGGAACCTCGGTGACTTCGCGGCGATGTCACTCAGGAAGGCTTTCAGCTTCTTTGCAGCCCGTTTAACGTTCTTGGAACATAAAGCCATCAACCGTACCATAAATTTGGTTCTCAACTACTTCCACGAAGAGGAATTTGGCTCTCTGGCTACCTCATTTCCTTTTGAAAGAATAATTACGCTTTATAGGTTTATAAAAATCTTGACACACTTAGATGTATATACGTACAGAGTGAACTTTTATTGGTACATAAATTTTATATATAATATTTATATAAAATTTTAATTTTTTTTATTTTTAATGATTGAGATTTATTTATATTTATTAA